CTCTCACCAGCTATTTATACCTTACACGGCCTACACAGCCGTTCCACATAGAAATAGCTTAACACCTCTGTACGTACTTGCATTTGTCCCTTTCTCTCTCTGGTGTTCCCACAAGTGTGCCAGTATGTCGCAGACATTCCACAGACATCCAGCCCTGCCAGCTCACCAGGACCACTTGGAAAACCAGCAGAGCACTGTAATGGACATCCTTCAGCTCAAAGCAGCCAACGACCTGCAATGGCAAAGAAAGGAACAGCGAGACTGCGACACAAGTGAACACCTGACACCCAGCCTGAACCACCAGGACCTGACCAGCATCATCCTCTCCTCGGCCCACACCCTCAAGCGCCTCAGACAGGAGGTAAATGAGCTGAAACTGCAAGTCACAGGGTTCTACAGAGAACTGACACCTGCTCAACGAGAGAAAGCACAGAACGGATGCAAAGAACCTCACAGAATGGTGCAACAGAAGGAAATCACCAGTCTTCAGAAGGCTCTAACAGCTGCTGGACACCAAGCGCCGCTGGAAAAAGCCATCAGGCAGGACTTGGAAAGAGAACTGTTTCACACAAAGTCACTGTTAAAAACAGCATATGTGGAACTAAATGAGAGAGACACCAGATCTAAGGCCTTAGAAGGCCAGCTGCATGCAGCCAGAGCTGAGGTCCAAACCTTGACTCAGCAATTAAAGAGGAGCTTGGCATGGTTCAGAAATAATTGAAACAGTCCTACCGACTGCGCATGGACTCAAGCAAAAGACAGCCTGCTGAACATCACATCACCAGCAGTGCAAGCCCCTCCACACCTGTGCACAGCTACGGGAAATTCTCTGCACACTACAGAATCTCCATAACAGTTCCCGGCAATCCCTGGAACCACCTGCACTCTCACCAGTGAGAGTCTAACCCGGCTGTTCCACATCACGGGTACCACGGATAGCCTACTGGCTAACAACATCGACAAACAACCATCTTACCCAGACTAACTCACTTCAGGATGACAGGTGACAGCCTCGACACCTGCCCGCACCTTGCTACAGCCTACATCACCACAGCACACCACCTGACAGCATCCACCACGGCACCACAACCACTCCTGGAGGCACCAACAGCCAAAGAGCCACCACTGTCTCCCAGCCGTAAGTGGCAGGTGTGTGTTCGATTGTTCTACACCTTCGACATCGCTCGTTGTTGTCTATTCTATGGAGAACAATGCCCGAAAAGGGGGATTTTGTAGCGTCTGGACCAATCAGACACACCATTTTTCATTTGATTTAACAAATGAATTATTCATTAGATTAACAAACATTCACAGACCCCTCACCCAATAAACATACTGGGTGCCAAGTTGTCTGTTAACGAGGCCCAGGACCCTGGTTACCATGGCAACCCTGACACCTTTGCTGGACCAGATAGATTTTACGACCTAATGACATGTTGAGAATTACCCCTCTCACTACACTCTCCGTAGGAAGAGACACAATGCACAGTAGAAATTGACTTTTCTACTAATTAATTCATAGGAAAAACTTTCTGTGAATGAACACACATATCCTTCAGCTCGATGAGACGTGCAAGTATTCAAACTTAGTCTTATTAATTGATATATTAGGTATCATTTGCACCTTTTTACAAAGGTGTGTTTGGACTAAGAATCTGATGTTTCCCTCAGGTGTAGATCTGCTGAATATGCAAATGGTTCCATAACTTCATTCCTTATTTCTCTCCTCTTTACTGCTTAAGCTTTAACCCTTCCCTATACCAACTGTATGCGTGTGTGTGTGTATGTGTATGTTAGACTAGTTTAAGTGTTTATGTGTATGTTAGACCAGTTTAAGTGTTTATCTAGTATGTTAGACTAGTTTAAGTGTTTATGTAGTTAATAAAGTCTTACTTGTATCACACTTGACATTGTTCATTGTTTGCTCATAACTGGAGTCCCTAATCATGCAGATTTATGCTACAAGATCTGTGTAAAGTTGTACAGTAAGAAAGTTATTTCCCTTAACCAGGAAATTAACGTTCTTAGAATTGACAGACAGTTGACCCTGAGAGGTCAAGGAAATATCTACAGCGGATCTAAATATTTATAATTAATTATAACTAGTTATGATTAATTATTCATATTTCCCCATGAGCTGATTCGCTACACTTTCAAAACATCTTACTGACCCAAAACTGTTGAACAGTTCTGTCAAAAGCAGAAACAAATTTTCATCGAAAGTCTCTGGACTTTCTCTTATCACTGATAGCAGAGACTCACAGGCTGCTGCGGCTCCTCTTCTGATGCCTAAAAACATATACGTTGGCATGCTCAAAGATGTCTGTATAACAAAGCAGGATTAACTGCTGCTGTACTGTATTAATCATACTTGCAAAAAAAAACAGTGACACATTTAGACATACATAAAACACACAGCTGATCTCAACTGGATAGCATAAGGTCTGGTCCACACTGCAGCTTATTCCGTCTGTGAACTGCTTGTCTAGACAAGAAAAGCAGTCTGACTGACATATAAAGGGACTAGTCACTGTCTGTTTAATTTTTATAAGCTACAATTAAAAATAAAGGTTCTTCATGGGCATCAATGGTTCCAATACATTCATGGAACCATTCCACAAAAGGTTATTTATAGCGGAAAAGTGTTCTTAAGATTATTAAAATGCTCTTCACACTAAGAAAATTATTTTTATTTTAAAACCTTTTCTCAGACAGGATCTTTGGGGAACCTAAAATATTTCTTCACATCGCTACAAAAACATATAAGAGTTTATTTAGGGTGGAAAATAGTTTATACTACATGAAAAAAACAAAGTAATCTCTACAAATAATTGTGGAAAACACCAAAAATATAAAAAAATGTGTACACTTTGTGATTCTGCTGGTTCAAAGTGCTTGTTATATCAGCCTGGTACCTTGTAAACACAACTTTGTTTCCAGGCGGTCTGATAAAAAAAAAAAAAACCTGTGTTCTTACTCCCAGAAGTTGCGTTAAGTCAGCCATCACATCAAAGCTTTGTAGACTGAGAAAATATTTTCCAGCAACATGCATCAGACAGTCAGTGTACAGAGGCTGAGCCTGAGACTACTTTACAGGTGACCCTTATGGTCTTAGGCTGCCAAACAGCCTAAACTCAAGTAACTATCACATGTGTAAACTAATTAAAAAAAGGAACTGCAGATTTTGTCACTAGGAGTGAAACAAACAGCCATTTATACACCCATAATGTTGTGATTGCCTGAATTACTTGTAAAGCTTGTTTTTGTCACAAAATACCTTTTAACTGAACTAATTAAATTAGCCACTAATGTGAGTGATTAACCACTACTGCTTTGATGGGGGACAAGATGTGTCGGTTTGCTTATAAAAATCAAGTGGGTTTATAATGAGGAGTGACTACAGTCGTGTGTAATTCTGTGGGTGCAAACACAGTATATGTGGTTGTTAATAACCGTGTCAAATTTCACATCTCAGTGCGTCAGTAGCTGTTTTCTTTCTCCTATTCCTGTGATCTCCGACAGTTGTCTACCCTGTTCTAATAATGTGCAGACATGTTTGTGTACCATGACCACCTCTGACTCATATCTAAAACCCCTTACGCCTTCAGTGTCTTTGAGCTGCAACCCCATAAATGCCCACAATCACACCCTGTTTTAGCCTGTGGGCCAACTCTCATAGGGCCCCACCACAGTGACATCACTGTGGTGACAACCAGCAGCATCTGTATATTTGTGTCTGGGTCTGTGTGTGTTAGAGAGAGAGGAAGACACAGTGAAAAGCACCAATGCATTGGAGATTCCAGATTTGAGGTGTGTGCTTGTATCCCTATGTGTGTGTAATTGGAAGTCAGGCCCCAGGCTTAGAAATTATTGTTCCTGTCTGAGATGCTTGAACTGCAGCCAATTAGACAATAAAGAGAAAAGCTGCTCTGTTTTCTACCAGTCCTTGAATTGGCTTTGTTCATTGACTTTCACAACCCCCTCCTCTCTCTGTGTCTGAAGCAATAAGACAGTAAATTGTGCTCCACTTAGAGTGCCCTTAGAGAAAATTAAGAGATTTTCTCTGTTCCTCAACCAAGCCTCTTAATTACACATGTTTAGACATAAAAAGTATTGTAAACAAATGTTCATGCACGTGAGTGTAAAATGTAGCTATGTTTGCCGACGAGAGAGTAATTTTCTGCTATTTTGGTGGTTTTGTAATGTCAACTGTGTGTTCCAGAGAGAAAGATGAAGCATTATTACAATAGGGGATTTTTGGATGTATAGAAGGTGCTGGTTAAGGAATAGGAAAAATAAAAATCTGTCCTCATCTACTTTTCTATTGAACATAAATCATATTCTACTATCACACTGCAAAATTTTGCTCAGTACAACTACTTGTTGTTCTGCACGAGTAACATTATGATTCCTGTGAATGCAGTGAAAATTATAAATGCGTCATAAAAGTATCAGACAAATGATCATTACACCTTGTGTATTATGTTCTTCTGAAGCCATACACTAGCTAGGCGGAATATCTTTACATCCAACCAAGTTCTCCTTGGGCCGTTCATGAGCATGAATGAATCTTTCTTTTGAATCTGATTTTTAAAAATTAATCTGTTGATTAAGCTCACATACCAGTCTGCATGATTCGTTCACGTAGACTGATCCAGTTCACGAGTTTAACTTACTGATTTTCTCAGAGAAATTTCAATCTGTTCTTTACATAAAGAAATGAATACTTTTAAGCATTTGTAACTTACTCATGAAATAATTAAAGTGTGTCATCCATGCTGAATTATCAAGACAAAGTGAAAATCATAAATCATTTATATTATAGTAATATAGCAGGCAATACTTTGATTTATAGGCCTATGGGTGTTTTATATATAGCCTAGTAAGGACATAAAATTACCATCCCTGTCTACTCTGTACTTTGAGTTATACCAAAATGAACTTAGACACATTGCGGTTCAATGTTTCATGTACATTTTATTTATTTATTTTACTCACAGCAAATTCTGAGGCAGTCGCGTGAGAACGCCACGAAGGCGATCTTCCTCATCACTGACGGTTACTCAAACGGCGGAGACCCGCGGCCGGTCGCGGCGGCGCTGAGGGAGAGAGGCGTGGAGATTTTCACGCTGGGCATCTGGCAGGGGAACATACGCGAGCTACACGACATGGCCTCGCACCCCAAGGATCAGCACTGCTACTTAGTGCACAACTTCGCTGAGTTTGAAGCGCTGGCTCGACGCGCCCTTCACGAAGGTGAGAATACAGCATATGAGCTTTTCATACTTGTAATAGTTAAGATTAGGTCATCATTAGTCTTATATCTTTGTCTTGTATCACGATTCACTTTGTTCATATTTACTTCATGGTTCATAATTAATCCTGACTATTCGTTCACATACAGTCGATTTCCTGTTGTAAACGATTTGTGAAAGTTCTTATTTGCATATTTATGAGGCAGATATATTGATTGGACAATTATAGCACGTGACCAGCGCAACCCGGATGCATCGTTAACTGCTTTACTAGCCTAACCTTTGTTGGTTTGGAAATGTTCCAAATTTCCACTGGTTGTATTTTGTGTTGATGTTTTTTATTTATTTATTTATTTTTTCAAATAAATGAATGAATGAAAGGCGTTTGCTGTCACTATTCAACATGTTAACAGTTTCTCTCAGGGATGTACACTAACAGCGTCAAAGTTTCTGGACTGTATAAAAATAATTAGGTTAGTAAAAGATTATTCCCGGTTTTCTGTTGCCATACAACTCACGGGACATTTTAGCACCGCTTGGTTTCACACTGTAATACTTTGGCACATCTATTAAGGTAGTGCTAAAAAACCCTGCCAAAAATGGTGGTGTTAAACATTACGTAAACAAGAGTTAAAGTTGGACTTTAAGGAGAGTTTAAAAAGGCGTTAACCAAAGATTCATTGTAAAAAAGGTATATGTATGGCTATAAAGTATGATGCCGAATTCTCGTGTCTTTCTTCATATAAACCCAAGCTTTACTCAAATTTACCATAACCATAGTTTCCTCTAAATACCATAGTTAACAGCATAACAAACATTATTTTTATGTCAGTGGTGACTATACCAAGCTGTTTTAATGTAATAACTGCATTTGCTGTGATATTTTAACAGAAACTATGGTTACCATGGTGAATGTTTGTTAAGGGAAATCAAAGGCCAATCCAGCTCATTTTTCCTTGAGCCTGACAAATATGAGCCTCTGTTGATCCCAGCGTAAAAGAAAACTGGTACAAAAATAATTCAGTGTTATTATTTCCTTTGGCTGTCGGGCTATAGCAGATTCTTCTTATCTGAGCTCTGAACTCAATCAGCCACATGAACTCAAAAGACCCCTTTCTTCATGATGACATCACCCACCTACGCTAAACCCAGAGAGATATAAAACAAAGAAGCCCTCTAGATAGCATCAGATCAATCACTGGCTTTGTGCAAGGGGAGGCCTGACTAAAGCTGTGGCATCGTTTGTTCCCACCTCCCGCTGTGATATCATGTCTGTCATATCCTTTGTCCAAGATAGTTCAGACTCCTTCAGCTTGCATAGCCTGTCTGTGTATGCCAACATCTGGAGCAATGCATTTGTTTGTATTTAGGGAGACAAAATGGTCCTGCCAAAGCCAAGGTTTTATAGTTAGTTATGCAGAAGATGCCAATACCAAAACACACATGCTTACTTTTCCAGAGCCGCTTGGAGTTCAGTTAGACATGAAGAAATAGATGAATTATGAGGCCAAAATTATTTTCTTTTGCATCAGAGAAAAGTGCAGTCTGATATTCATTGCCATTTTCTCTTCCAGATCTTCCAACTGGAAGTTATATTCAGGAGGATCTGGCCCAGTGTTCATCATTGTGCGAAGAGGGAAAGGACTGTTGTGACATAATGGCCAGCTGTAAATGCGGTACACATACAGGACAGTACGATTGTGTGTGTGAGAAAGGATATTACGGAAAAGGACTTCAACATGAGTGCACAGGTAAGGGTCGTGGCCTGTGTGCAAATTTTGTATTTTCCATTTCAGTTCAAAAGTTTTAAAGAAATGGATGGAGTTCCTAGAGACAAGTCCAGTTTATTACTCGATAAATTTGCTCAGGGATGTTTAAGGCTGAAATGTGAACTGAAAGCCAATTCCTCTCCTGAAATGAAGTAAAAGAAACACTTTCACCAAATATCCATAGTGACAGAGAAAACAGCGTACAAATAGATGGGACATTGAAGCGTGATGCCAAAGTGGTGCTTTAGCTCTCATTTTGCTTTCATAACAAACCTATAAACATGATTTAAAACATTCACAATCATCTCTTTGTGCACTGCAAAATACCACATAATATGCTATGTCAGCCCTTTTTTGCAGCTTACTTAACTTCATTTGAATCTGGCAACCCTACTTTTTGTTCACCTCATAAAACTCCTTGAAGAAAAAGCAATGCTTCATTTGAATTAAGATCTATTTATGTTTACGTTCATGAGTTGTGGTTCTATTAAAGCTATTTTTCATGCTGTGGTAAAAATGAGCTCATATTGAGACAGTTCTAAAATAATCAGTCTGACTAATTAAACTGAGGAATGAGGTGGTAGGAAAGTGTTAGATGTACAAACACGGGGTGAACTGCAGATTTCATGTGATGGAGAGCTAACCTCCGACAGATGTTATTATTGCACACTTGCTTTCACACTTTGTCGCTTTGTAGTAGTATTTCTTTCTTTTTCTCTGCAGAGACACTTAATACCCATGAGAAGTCATGTGTAAACGCCTTGAAGTCTATTATAAATCTGATGTTTTGAGAAACAGATTTGGAATAGTGCAAACTTTTACTCACAAATGTCTTTGACTAAGAGTGTTCTTACTCTAAATTATTAGATTTTTCAAAGCTACTACAGCTTAATCAACCTATCTCACCACAAACTAGTAAATGTTGCAATGTTAATAATACATGAAAAAAAAGGTCTGCACTGAGGAACTGGGGCCAGATTCAAGAAACATTCTTAAGAATTTAATTTTGGCAGCAGCTATTTGTCCTAAGTGAAAATAACATATTTTCTTAGCGATAGATACTATTTACACTAAGTGCAAATAGCTACACTACGTTAAAATAGCAAGGTTTTCTGTTATTTATACTACTTATTGCAAATAGTGACAATTATCTGCACCTCAGTATTGTAGTACATTATAAAACAGTACGCAATAATAATGTATTGTGTAAATTATAATTTTAATTCATATTATTAAATGGATGCCACCTTACTGGGACATTAAAACCCTCCCTGCACCTACCCTAACCGATACTTTATTTCCAACTTTTTGATTATTTCCTTCATTTTTAGTGAAAATAAATGCCTTTCTGATGTGATAAAGGATTTGAAAAGGGAGAAAAAAAAGTTTGGCAAAAGGCGGATTCAATTTCGGGTCAATTGCATCAAAAAGCATGTGCCTTACCATCTACGCAACTAGAACTGATGATTGACAATCGTCTTTTGTAGTATTGACTTCAAAATCACACGTTGGTGGGTGGAGTTTAGTGTAAATAGCCTCTGCCAACAAGGCGGGCTATTTGCACTTAGTGTAAATAGACACTCTGTAAATTTTTTCTAAACTGCTGTTTTCTGTTTACTTTCTTGCTTAAGAAAAAATAATGTTCTTAAGCCAAAACTTAAGATGAATTTAAGTTCTTGAAGAGGATCTTCTTAAAAATCATAGTTAGTATAACTTCCAACTTTTCTGACTGTAAATCTACAAAGGGTATGTTTTATGAATGTATTTTTTGTAATTGAGCATAAGAACAATCGTTTTAAATTCAAGCATATAATTACAGCATAATTTTCAGCAATATTCAGCACTGAATCTGCACAGTAAAGAGAGGGCAAAAAAACAAATTGCAAATGTAAACAACATTAAAAATGACTATTTAAATACACAGCACACTATAAATGCAACGTCTCATCCAGCCAGTCACAATGGAAATAGTGTGTATGCTTATAATTGTCACAAAAACACTGCCTGCCAAGTGTTTTTCTTTTAGTTGGTCAGCAAATATTTGGCAATATCCTCCATACAGTCAGATAACACCAAAGTCTGTTATTTTCTTCATAAGAAAAGAAAAATATGTTTTTTAAGAAAATATTTGAGAAATTCTTTGTTCAAGAATTGCTTTTAAGAAGCTTTTATGTCTTTCTGTAAGGGAGCCAGGTTGACCTTGTTTCTCTTGAAGCAGAACCGCACAAATCCAATGCCATGTTGTGAGGCATCAGTCTGCACTGTAAACATTTTCTCAAAATCAGGATTTTGAAGAACTGGCTCCTGACATTATGCATTCTTTAAGTCATTGAAGGCTTTTTCACAGTCCTCAGTCCATACTACCTTGTTGGACTGGCTCTTTTTTGTCAAAATTTTAGGGCTATTGCCCTGGCGGAGAAATTTGGAATAAATATCCCGTACCAACCAACAAGCCCAAGAAAAGCTCTAACCTGTTTCTTTGTCTCAGGCTGCCCTGCACCTTTAATGGCCTCCACCTTCCCCACCTGAGGTCAGATCACACCGTGACCCAGTACAAAACCAAGGTATTGGGTTTCTGGTTTGGTGAGGGCACATTTATCTGGGTGAATGGTTAGTACTGCAGCCTTAATGTGAGTCAGGACTTCCTTAAGGTGCTCCAGATGCTCTTCCCAGCTTTAGCTGAAGATTATAATGTCATCAAGGTAAGCTGCAGCGTAGTCCTCTGTACCACGGAGGACTTGATCCATCATCCTTTAAAATGTGGCCTCAGCCCCATGGAGCCCAAAAGGAAGGACCCGGAGCTGGAAGTGACCAAAAGGGGTTCTGAAGGCAGTAAGCTCCTTACATGCTGGATTCAGCGGCACCTGCCAGTATCCCTTGCAGAGATCCAGCATGCTCAGGTAATTCGCTCTCCCTAGTCTCTCCACCAGTTCATCCACCCGTGGCATTGGATAAGGATCAAATTTACTAATGGTGTTCAACTTCCTGAAATCTAAGCAGAACCGCAGGGTACCATCTTTCTTCGGTACCAGCACTATGGGACTGCTCCACTCACTTGATGATGGCTCAGTAACTCCCAGTTGTTTCATGGTCTACCATTCCTGTTTCATAACAGATAGAAGTTTCTTTGGCACACGATACACTGGTTGCCGGACAGGTTTGGGGTCCTTGAGGATGATAGCATGGTCGACTAAATCTGTCCTGCCAGGGGTATCCATGAACAACTGATCAGGTTTATATTCCTGGAGCTGATGTCTTTGTTCTTCACTCAGGTGCTGAAAATGTAATTCACTGTCACTGCGACAGGTCGGTAAATATTGTTCTTCCACTTCCTCTTCACACTCTACTGCTCTCACCAGCATAGCCATGTCATTGCTCTTTTCTGTTTTGCCAGGAGAATGTTGCGGATGCCATTTTTTCAGCATGTTCACATGAAATGTTTGCAGAGGAGGATTTTGGGAGGGGATTTCAATCTGATAGGTCACTGGACCTACCTTATTCTTTATCTGGTACGGGCCTTGCCACTTCGCCAAAGGCTTATTCTCAGATGTTGGAAGCAATAACAGAACTTCTTCACCACGTTCAAAGCTTCGTGATCTAGCTGTTTTGTCGTACCAGTGTTTCTGCTGTACTTGTGATCTTATCAGGTTTTCTCGTGCCAAGGCAGTGCTCTGTTGCCGTTTCTCCCTCATTTTCAGCACATAAGTGAGGATGTTCTTTGTCTTTGGGCTGTCCGCAGCCTCTCTTTCAGGACATCTAAAGGACCTCTCACTTGGTGGGCGTACAGCAATTCAAACGACGAGAATCCTGTTGAAACCTTGTGAACTTCCTGGTAGGCGAACAGGAGGTATGGCAGCCATTTATCCCAGTCTTTGCCCGAGTCGGAAACAAACTTTTTTAACATATTCTTTAGAGTCTGATTGAACATTTCAACAAGACCATCAGTCTGAGGGTGATATGGGGTTGTTCTCACACTCTTAATGCCCAAAAGCTGATAAACTTGCTGCAGTGTGCGACTCATAAAGTTAGTGCCTTGGTCTGATAAAAACTCTTTTGGTATGCCAACTTATAAAAACTCTTTTGGTATGCCAACTTGGGAAAATAATTTCAACAAAGCTGCAGCTATCTGCTTAGCAGTAACATCTCTCAATGGATATGCTTCAGGATATCTTGTCGCATAATCTGAGATTACTAGAATAAACCAGTTTCCTGCCTGACTCCCCTCAAGTGGACCAATAACATCTACTCCTATTCTCTCAAAAGGCACATCAATTACAGGCAAAGGTACTAGTGAGGCGTATGCAGGAATCCGGCCAGTAGCGAGCTGGCATTCAGGGCATGTCTTGCAGTATTCTTTAATGTTTGTGTACATTCTAGGCCAATAAAATCTTTTAGAGATTCTCAGACATGTCTTCGCAAACCCTAGATAACCGGACCATGGAATGGAATGACCTAACTGCAGTAGGGCTGGGTATCGTTCAAAATTTTTCGATATCGATACCGATACATTGACTTCGATACCGGTTCCTGAACGATACTTTTTTCGATACCAATTTTATGAAATCAATTTTAACAAGAAAATATTATCTAAAAAAAAAACTTTGGTTTTATTTTTCAGCTTGTTGATGTTTATACAAACTCAAAGATCTCCTGAGCCACTGCACAAAGGAACAAAATGTAACCAACACAATAAATCAGTGCAAAATAGTTTTAATAAAGCTCAAATAGTCTTCAGTTTACACCTCTGTTAGGCTACATTTACACTAGTTAGTGTTAGTTTTAAAACGCATAGCTCAGACAGAATCATGATTTCTATTTATTTTCCACTGATTTACTGATGAGCATTAGCAGCTTCCAGCGCTGTCTGCTTGTGTTCTCTCTTCCATGATCGCTGCTCTGACTCAAAGGTAATAACATATTTAATTTCAGCAACATTACATGGCCCCCTTCCCTATTAATATAATAGACCTAATATTACCACCCAAGCAAACAAAAATATTTCTTAATCAGTGGAAACCGATACAGTGTTTTCTATCGGAATAAGCGCTTGCGTTCAGTCAATAAAAATCGAATAGTTCTTAATTTGTTTGAGAACTGAGAAAGACCATACCATATAGTCGTGGCCACATAACCACCTCCGGGAGTGCATTATTTCTCTAATAATTTTAACGGCCTGGAGTCCCAACCACACATCAAGACATTGTTCAGATCATTTGTTTCAAGACATTTGCCATGTTTCCGTCCTGAAATCTTGTGTGGGTTGAACAAATTTTTTATGCACCTCATCCCAAACCTTCCGTTGCAAATTCCAAAACGTCATTTCAGAGCTGATAACAGAGGCTTGAGCGATTGATATGCAGGCTAACGCAGTTATTAATGCAGTCTAATGCGGTTATTAGAGGGAGAGAGAGAGATTAAGTGCGTGTGAATACCTGCGTCTATGCGTCTCTCAGCAGCTTTCAGCAGCAGTGTCTATTAATAGCGAATCTTTAAGTTAAACTCCTTCAAGAACCTCGCTACTGAGAAATGTCCTGTAGCTTTTCAGCTGCGAAACTATTTTACTGATTTTACAATGTCTTGAGCAATGCGTAAATCCGGCCCTGTTAGATGGCAATCGGAAGTTATTACAGACACTCGATGGTTGTTTAAAGTGAGTTTTTGAGTAAAAGCGGAATATAAATCTTATTTATTGTCTTATGTAGCATGATGCTACAGTTTGCGTGAATGGTCACATAACACACGCTTTCAGTCGTGCACCGTTAGTATGAATGGACATCTGCATATGATCGGAACTCCACGCAGCGCCCAAGCTACTCTATACTGATGGTATTACAGTGCCACGAGAGCTAAAGAGAGCAGACTGCTCCGTGCGCTTTCGAATCGCTCTCGCGGATGATCGATCTGCGCAGCACCTCTTCTAGTCGAACACACCAGCAAGTGCTGCAGGCTTATTGGCTCACTGACGCTGATGAGATTAGCCCCTTAGGTATCGAAATTTGGTACCGAACGACAAGACGTTTTTCGATACTCGATGGTATCGAG